GCCTGCGCCTCGAATGTCGCGGTTGACACGGGCTCCCCTTCTGGTCCACGCGTAACCACCTGGACGGAAGCCGTCTGAACAGGTATCTCTAAGGCGTGCGGGGGTTTTGGGATGAAGGTGAGTTGGGATAATTGTTGTTATGGTGTGGAAGAGGAAGTGGTTTGGATGAGATGCACAAGATTTGTATTTGTTTGATAGACTGTTTGGTTTACAGTTTGGTGGTGGTGTGTTCGTAATAATGAGGTATTCTGTAAGTTTCTCGATCACGTGTGGGGGGCGAGTTTGAGGGAAAGGTATGGTATACAGTTATGTGCAATGTGTATTTTTAATGAAATATTATTATTATATTTTTTTTTATAATGAAAGTAGATGAGAAATTGAAAGTTGGCTCGAAGAATCGATTTTGATCCCTTGATCTTTTAAGATGGTAGATTTTTGGATGGATGGTTCAATTACTTTAGAAAATATAAGGAATTAGAAAGTTTAAAAAAATTCTTTTAAATATTACGTCTTTGCAATGTATATTTCTTTAAGCAACGATAACGTTTCGAATTTTCAATATTGAAAATTTTTAAATAAAGAGTTCAATCATATCGGATCACTTCCTTTTTTTATGGGAAAATTCTTTTTCCTAAAAATTAAACATCTTTTTTATTTGTGAATTACACCGTTGATGTGCAAAATAAGCAAGTTAGGCGTCATTGATCAGCTGTACGGGTCCTCCAGGTGAGACTGCGCGTACACGTAGGAAGGTAATGGTCGAGGGACGCGTCAATGAAGGTGAAGAGGCGTATGACCTCGTAAACGAAACACTGTAAAACGCACGTTATATGATAATCGTTATTATAACGATATGAATGAATTGATCGAATTATTCGAAATAAAGTGATCGAATAGGAGTAAAATTTCAAATTTTTTTTTTTTTTTGTTTCTTTGGCAAACGAAAATAATGTGCATGACATTAATTGAAAGCTTTAAAAATATAACGAGGAAAATAAAATTAATTAAACATTATCTATTTTAAGTAATAGAAAAGAGGATAAGATAAATTGGGTGAAGATATTTTATTCTGCTAACAAAAAGAATCAAAAAGTAAACATGATGAAAAAAATATCAAAGACTTTTCTGTTGAATGTTGATTAATTTATCTTAATTAAATGAAATCACGCTTCTTTTCTCCTTTTCTAAACATACGATCAAATGATGAGTACACGAATCTGTAAATCTAATAATTAAATTGCGAATAATTATGCAAAATTTTAACGTAAAAAAATCTACAAAAATCAACATCAAAAATATTCAAAATATAATATACACATGATATGTAAAATAAGACGAATCAAATTCTTTAGTTACTCGTTCACATAAATTTGATTTTGCATAAAAATTCGTAATCTACACTAATAATAAATTTTGACCGTATCATATTTCACATATTACAAGAAACGTTTATTTCATAATTGATAAAATTACGTATCCATACTCACTCTATTTCCAAACGATTAATTCCAGAATATTAAAAATAGAAGATAACGGTTCATTACCAAGATTTATCACATCCTTCGATTTCTCATTACTCGAACGAGCATAATCTCTCATAAATCTTGACAACAATGGATAATTTAGAAAGAGAAAAAAAAATCTAGTTCTCTCATAACGTAGCATAAATTCATCAATATCATAATTACGAGATAAACTCAGTGAAAGAAGTTCCAAATAGAACCGTTAACCGTATAATCATCGAATATGAATCATTTCGTGTCCAAATTGATGTACGACTT